AACAAAAAGACAGCCTATTGAATGGGGGAAGATATTTGCAAATAATATATCAATAAGGGGTTAATACCTAAAATTTATAGAGAACTCATCAAAAACCCAAACAATTCAATTAAAAAATGGGGAGATCACCTGCATACACACTTCTACAAGGAGGACATACAAACAGCCAGTAGAGTTATGAAAAAAATGCTAAACATCACTAATCACTAGAGAAATGCAATTTAAAACCCCAATGAGACATCACCATATACCTTTCAGAATGACTGTATCAATAAATCAACAAACAACAAATGCTGACAAGGATATAGAGAAAAGGAAATCCTCATGCACTGTTGGTGGAAATGCAGACTGGTGTAGCCAGGGAGGTTAAGGGGTAGAGGGACTGAGCAAAAAGGAAAAAGGACTCATGGACATGGACAACAGTGTGATGACTGCTAAGCAGAAAAGGGTAGAATGGAATTAAATGGTAATGAAAAATACAATAAAGATTAAATTAAAAAACAGTATGAAGTTCCTTAAATATTAAAAATGTAGTTGCCTTATGAACCAATAATTCCACATCTGGGAACATATGTGAAGAAACCCAAACCACACATCTAAAATACTATGCACTTTTATGTTCATTGCAGTGTTATTTACAATAGCTAAGATATGAAACAATCCAAGTGTCCATCAATAGTCAAGTGGATAAAAAATGTGGTGGTACATATCAGGTCTATCCAGAAGGTATCCAGTGATGTAATATGAAAAATAGAGACTTTTCTTGAAGAAGATAAAGACACAAGAAATGTTGTACATAGGACAACGATGCCTTAGGTCCTCACACAGTTCTCCCAATGCCATCATATGCCCTGTGGTATTTTCCTGAATTTCATCAATGGTCTGAAATCTCTTCCATTTCAAAGGTGATTTTAGTTTGGGGGAAAAAGCCAGAAGTCACAGGGCACCAAATCTGGGCTGTAGTGGGGATGAGTCACCTGGGTGATTTGATGTTTCACCAAAAACTCTGCACCAGATGTGATACACAAGCAGGCACATTGTCATGATGAAGCTGCCAATCACCAGTTGCCCATAGCTGCAGCTGTTTCACTATATTGCATCTCTTAGTCAATGAAGAACACCAAGGTAATACTCCTTATTAATTGTTTGGCCTGGAGGGACATAGTCCTGATGGACAGCATCTTCCCAATCAAAAAACACATTTAACGTGGTCTTGATCTTGCTGTGACTTTGCCATGCCCTCTTTGAGCATGGAGAACCAGGAAACTTCCACTGGGATGATTGGACCTTCATTTTCAGATCATAGCCATACACCCATGATTCATCTCTGGTTATGACCTACTTGAGGAAATCTGGTTCATTGGCAGTGGTTTGAATCAAGTCATTAGCAACTATAGCATGATGTTCCTTCTGCTTTGGTAGCAGGAGCTGCAGAACAAATTTTGCCATGACTCATTTCATGCCAAGATCCTAGGTCAAAATCTCAAACACAGTAGTTTTGGGGATCCCTAGATCAGCTTCTAGTTCTCACACTGTCAGTTATCAATCTTTAAACAGGCACAATGTCATGATGAAACTGCCAATAACCAGTTGCCCATAGCTGTGGCCCTCTGACTCATCTGAAAAGTTACCATGAAGGAATATTCAAATTTAATGCAAAATTTGATAGTGATTCATTGCTCTCCTCACGGTCATTTTGAATGTGACAGCCACACAGTACACATGCTCAGTCAATAGTGTCTACCACTCCGAATGACTAGTATATTTACCATGGCTCATGCAAGCACATTCTAGCTCACTCTCATTAGCTGCCAGGTTACATCAATGTCAAGCAAAGTGTTTTTGTTATATTAACAAGGGCTGGACTTTTTCTGGACAGACCTAGTGTACACAATAGAATATTGCTCATCCATAAAAATAGAAGGGAATCTTGCCATTTGTGACAGTATACATTCACCTAGAGTGTATTATGCTAAATGAAATAAGTGAGGCAGATAAAGACACATACCATATGATTTCACTTATATGTGGAATATAAGGAGCAAAGTAAATGGACCAACAAAATAGAAACAGACTCACAGATACAGAGATGGTTGCCAAAGGGTAGAGGAAGTTGGTGTGGTGGATGAAAAGATGAAGGGATTAAGAACTACAAATTGGTAGTTACAAAATAGTCACAGGGAAGTAAAGTACAGCATAGAGACTATACTCAATAATAATGTAATAACTATGTACAGTGCCAGGTGGGTGCTTGAAATATTGGGGGAATCATTTTGTAAAATATATGCTTGTCTAACAACTATGTTATCCACCTGAAACAAATAGAAAATGATACTGAACGTAACTGTAACTAAAAAATATAAATTTAAAAATTATATACTTACTCCTTGAATAACTCACACCTACTGAGCCAAACTTCCCCAAAAGTTTCTTTCTTCCTATTTCAATGAAAACACTCTTAACTTCAGGCCATGACTGAAGCTCACTTGGTGAAAAGAGCAGTGCAGTTAAAACCCAAAGATCAAGATCCAATGTTTTGTTCTCTATTTTGTGGCTTAATATTAATCATGCAACTTATTTTTCTAAGTTTTCCTGGACCTAAGAATTGGCAAATGACGAAAGTACATGAGATCATCTCTATGGTCCCTTATGGTTCTTACATTTTATAATCCTGTTATAAATCAGTCCAAATTACAAAGTTTCTCAGGGTTCTGCATATTTAAATTTATTCTTTGCTTTTATTTTGTTGTCTTTATTTTTCTGTTTGCTTTTATATAACCACTTTGATGGATAGAACCCCTTCATCTGCCCTTTGCAAAACTTCATAATCTTTAGCAATTAAATTAGTCAAGCTGACATAACTCATGGCCTTCTTCAGACTAGAAATTTTGTTGTGAAAATTGTACAACTAGAAACTTGAGCTATAAACATTTCATAAAATTCAATTTTCCTATTATGTATGACATTTTATTTATTTTTGAATTTTACTGACAGTTTGAAGTTTGCCTGAACCAATGGCATATAGTGCCATCTAAAAAAAAAGTAGTATTTATATTTGTTCTGGCCTCACTTCATGCTGTGTTTCTTTAATGCAACCTAGCATGAGACATGTGATTTGAAGGATGCTCCTGTCAACTACTCAGAAAGAGGAGTGTGTGATCTCAGTATAGTTCAGAGTAAAGAGTTTCCCACCTGGTAAACCCCTTTGCACAGTGGAAATGATTATCCTATGCGCTGTCAGTCTTACCCAAGAAGTTCAAAACGGATGGACCCGGACCATATTGGTCCTTTAGGTCTTCAAAGGAGATCCTGCTAAATAAAGATAGGCCCTAGACTCCTGGTCCCATCAGTTCATAAATTATGGTTTTTTAAATGAGAGTTTTAAATCAGCTTTAAAAGAAAGCACTAAAATGGAATTTCATAAAACACAGAACCAGGAAAATTGAAAATGGGAAAAACTTAAGGTAGTCTAACATTGAAGAGTTTGAAGGCATTATTATTCTACTGCTATACTAAGTAATCTAATATTAAATGACCCAGTTAAGAGAAAAACAGTGATAACAAAGTAAAAAATATTTTTAAAAAATGATTTACTTTACTTTAGAAAATATTTTGAGGTTTTTATTAGACCAAAATAGGATAATTCAATTTCTACACCATAACAAAGTGTAAGTTTGGTTCTTACAACATTTAAGTTCATATAACTGCTTGGCCCTTGATACATGCTTAGGGATAATGATTATTATACGGATAATTTTGATCAAGAAGTAATATGAAAACAGAACAATTTAAAAGGAAGTTTCTCCCTTGGATTTAAGAGGTCATCCTTATTTATCATCATTTAAAAAGTCTTGGTCTTTAAGAAATATGTGTTGACTTATGATATGAATTATATTAACAACTCATGCTTTTAAAATCACTGATACTAAGAAAACTATTGCTTGAGGGCTTGAATTATTTCTGAAATTCAGAGGCTCAAACCTGAGTTAATTTAATGTGGTAATATAATTCCAAACTAAATTTTAAATGAATATATGTGTATTAGTCAAAGACATAGTATTTTTTGAAACAAACTTTGAAGCAATCGATTAAATAGTAAATTCTTTTTGCTTTGTTTTAAGAACTTGGTGCATGTTTTCTGGAAAATGATATAACAGAATTAAAAAAAAGGCCTTCTTTATTTTAATCTGGTGAACAACTGTGCAGTTTTAGACTCTCAGCACTATTTCAGATTTTTGAAATTTACTTTTTTCCTTCTTGGCTTGAACTTTTTTCTTTGTTTTTTTTTTCTTTTACTTTTAACTGTGTCACTGAAGCTTTAACACTAACTTTAATGAAGTGGCTGAACTTTTAACCTTTGAGCCCAACACACTTTAAACCTATCACCAATATCCACTGCACTTTTTCTGTAGTTCTTTATCAGACACAGTAAGCATAAGCCTTTTAGTGTGGGGGACCTTATTTACCTGGGCTCTTTGTAGCAGCAAATAGTAAGGATTTCAATTCTTTTACTGTTGTTACTCAAGATTCTCAAAGGGAAAAAAAATGCTGGAGCCTTGAACCTCCTACCCTCCCCAACTCTGCTTCTTCATTGGCAATTGGACCTCATATAAAGAGGTCCTGGGTGTCAGCTTTCAATGAAAAGTCATTTATTCATAGCCTGGCCTCAAATTTACTAACAGAAGAGATTGTTTTTTACCAGGTTGTGCTCCTTTGCAAACGTTTCCTATCTATTCGGCCACTCAGTCCACATGCAAGGCAGCATTTCTTTAGAGTTCCCTCCATAGACAAAGGGCTGTGATACTTTCAGGGCAATCAAAGGGAAAGAGTACTTTTTAAAATGTAGAATTTTTTACTTACCCCTTTTTTTGTGCCATTAAACACTTATAACTGTCACGTCAAGCCACGTCCTTTTATGGGGAGCCCCAGACCAGGCAGATCTCTGTCTTATTTGTTTGAGGAGTAATTTGATGAGCAGCGAACACTAGAGGGGAGCTTACCCGTTCTGGAGAGAGAAAGCCTCAGACCCTTTGGGAGAGGATCAGAGCTACTGATTTACACAAGTCAAGCTAAGATTTGGTCAGCCATGGTTCAGAAGTCAAAAGGTCAAGGATGGCAGGTAACCAATTTATTGTCATTTTCCAAAAAGGCAGGGAAGCACAAGTAGAATTGAGAAGTTTAGAAGCTGTTCATGCCATGTTACAAAATCTTTTTTAAACCTCTCTGGAGGCAGTCTTAACACGCGGAGTAGAATTACAGAGGCTTTTTTTCCCTTTACTATGACTGTCTGTCATTTAAATGTCTAAGGAATGATGGAATGAATTATCATAAAATTTTGACAAATTTGATGGCTCAAGCAAAAGGGGGAAATAGGCATTCTGATTATTAGGGTTCTAATAAGACATGACATTTAAAATGAGTTTACATGGCAGTTAGACCTTTGCTTTCACCCCCCTCCCCACTCGATTTAAAAACACTGAAACTCTTTTCTTTGGAAAGGAAACAACTTATTTCATTTTCTCCTCCCTCTACTTTAATGAGCATAAGTCCTATTTTTACCACTTACACCTTTTTATCCCTTGTAACCACAATCTAATTGCTTTCTACAATTTGCCTAAAATCGAGAAAACTTAAAATGTATCTTGAAAGTTAGTACGATATTTTAGTATAAATATTTAGTAAGAGATTATTAGAAAAATTAAGCAGCTCATTCACTTGTCATTAGTGTTTTTTCTGTGTCATCTTAGAGTAGATAAGGTGTATTTATTAAAAGAATGATTTGCATTTCCTAAAAAGAAAAACAAATAAGAAATTAAATAAAAAGGGATTAAATAAAGTACTGAGAAACAAATTTGATTTCTTTTTATTTTAATTTTAATTTTTTTGCCAAACAAATATCAAGTCCTCTATATAATAAAGTATCTCATTAACTCACATGAGCAACCTCTATAATGATGTTCTTATTACTTTTTTATATTAATTTACTTTATATTGCTTTTTTAAAAGCATGATACTTCTTTCATAATCAGTCTGACCTTTGAAAACATCCTGAACTTTTAGTTTAAAACTAAAATAGTTTGGGACGTTCTTAAACTATATACCTATTAATGCTATTAGAAAACATATTTCTGTACAAATAAATTAAAATCACTTAAAAACATTTTTAGAATGATTTTCATTTTGTCAGACTTTGACGACTAAAGTCAAATGGAAAGAAGCACTTGGTTTTAGTAAGTAAACTCCATGTAGATAACATGGTAACTGATCAATCCTGACTTATCCTAAAATGACTATTTACACAAAGAAAAACATGTAATTTCATATGATTTTTCCTGGTTATATAAAAAATGTAGATTTATCTTCTCTTTCTATGCATTTTCCAGAACTGCAGTGACTACATCTTTCAGATTCTCTCCTTATCCTAGTGGTAATTCCCCAGAAGTTCATTCAAGGCTAGTGGACATTGTCCACAGACCTGGGTAGAAATATATACTTTATCATACTTATATAATTGAATAATAGAGCAGAAAGAACTTGAATTAAATGTATTAACTGTAAGTTTCTAGAATTTCATAGTATAGAAGCAAACTGCTGGACTACTCATGAAAACCTATCAAGGTGGCTGCTCTAGCCCTCAAATGCATCCTCTACACTCTGCCCGTAGGTGAGAATAAAATTGTGTACGTGACAAATAAAAGAAACATAATAAAAACTGATTGCTAAAGATTTGAAATCAAGTGATGAATTTGTTTTTGAAGTACTTCATCTAATTGAATCCAGATCGCTACATAGAATCACATTGGAAAATGTGGTTAATGATATGAGAGTGTATGTTTTTAATATCAAATAATTCTCACAAAGGTTGTTTTAATAAATAGATAAATAAATATTGAATGTCTACTATGTAGCAGGCATTATATTTTAGTCTGGCTTACTACTGTGATCAAAGCAAGAGAGGTGAATAATATTATGAAGCTCACAGTAGAGCAGGGGTTCACATAAATAAGTGGGCAAGTCTAAAAAGGTAAGAGTAGATAACTGTTGGTACATGTAGGACAAATGCCTTACCCAGATTTGAAAAATCATGAAAGGTTATCAGGATAGATGGCAAAACAGCTTGAATGGATGAAAATAATTAAATTATTGGAGATGGGTAGGGGGACAGTGTGAAAAAAGAGAATGTTTGGAGAAAATGATCAAAAGAGCACAACGGGGTGAAGAAGAAGGACTGGCATGAGAGTGGTTGGTTAGCATGAGCCATAACATAAAAGAAGTTGTTAGTCACATTATGAGTTTGGCTTTCTGCGGGAGTAAAGAGGGAGATTTCAAACAGTTGTAAGCAGGGAAATGATGAAAGATTTGCATTTTAGAAAGTTTCTTCTCACAACAATGTAGAAAATGGATTGAAAACAGAGAGACTGGAGGCAAAGAGTTCATGCAGGAGAGATGACTGTTCGAATGAAATCGGTGGCACAGACTGTAGTGAGCGGTAAGAAGTCCTGTCTGACAGAAGGGGAAGTGAACAGAAGTTAGATCGAATGCTGTAGAAAAGAAATCGTCAAGAATATAAATAGTATATTAATAATACCACATTACTTCAACGTTACATTTACTGTATCTATGTGCCAACCAACCACAACCTGAAATATGCTGAAGTGGTACATTTAGGAAGCAAATGACATAAACAAGTTCAGTCATCTATCTACTCTCCATATCTTAAACACCATATTTTGATATGCAATCAGCTTTTATCATTTTACTGAGAATGTGAAACTTTTTTTAACCATTTTAGTTTCACTAATACCAAGTTTAAAAATTACCTATCGTTCACATAAAATTACTTAAAACAAAAACATCAAAAATTGATAACAATTGTGGCATATTTGGAATCATAAATACTTGCCAGCTGATGAAATCTAAAGAAAATATTCAATAACTTACAAATCTTCTTTTCAATTTTAAAGTTAATGGCAATGTTGAAAACATGCACTTTAGGAAGAGACAACAACTTATTTATAAGCTTATTTTTCATATAAGTATACATGGGAATGTTTGCAATAACCTTTTATCTTTATGTTTACTTACTCATTCAGTAAACTATTTATTTTATAAAATATTCACAAACATTTATGCAAATTTTATAATATAAATGCCAAAAAATTCTACGGCATGCAAAATTTCCTCAATCCAGGCTTATTATTTTCAAACACTGTTGCAGATAAGAAGAAAGGAAGAGAGGAGAGAATCACTTAGTTTGCAGCAACTAATTCACCCGCATTTTGAAAACAGGCCCAGGGAAAAGGTGAGAGTATGTATACATAGTGAAAGTAGAGATTTACCCAGAATGTGTGATACCAGAATTTACAATTTTGACAGGAGTATATTTATTGCTGGTCCCTGCAGAGGAAGTATGGGGACAGAATCCTCCAATCTGGTCATGTTTTTGGTTTCATTGTAAATATCCCCAGTGATTAAGCTGAAAATTAGAATGAGGTGAGGTCAGAGCATAAGTCAGGCTACAGAGTGTGGAACATAACTTTCCTGTTCTTGATTTAGATGTCTAATGCTCACTTCTCTGATTAGAAAAATATTTTCAGTGCCCTGGATTCAGAGAAAAGTTAATATTTATTTTACCACTTATATCATTTTAGTCCTTGCGGTAGGCAGGCTAAATGTTAGAGGAAAAAGAGTGGTGTATATTTGCTAGTTGTTGATATTTCCTTAAGATTTTCAAGCACCATTACACCCAAAATTTTAATTGCTATGAAATCTATAAAAGATAGAGCCACGTATCTTCAGAGTGCTTGTGGAAACAAAGTTGACTGAAAACTACTACGTATAAAATGTTAGGTGAAGCCTGCATAATAGAAATATCATCATCCTACAATTTTTAAGAAGACTTTTATATCACTTAAAAAAAGTTTCCTGTAAGTAGAATACTATAAGACCTTGTTTTTTCAGTACAATCCCCTATGTCTGTTGTCTTGGTATAATTAATAATGGTGACCTTCTGTCTTAAAAATCTAAATTTAGATGATAAAATACATGGTTACCAAATAGATGCTTGGGGCAACACTGGTACATAGTGCTTCAAGAAGGACCTCCTATGTCAGACATCATGATAAAGGGACATGGGTTTAATATTAAAAAGGAAGAAGATTTGATATTCTATGCTTCTAAGAAATATTAATAAAGACAAGAAAGTTACAAAATTGTGAGAGCTAATAACAAAATTGTGTAAAAAGGCACTGAATGTATGCTTTTACCAGTTGGTGAAAAAAGCATGCCAAGCTACTTAACCTTTATTCATTAGGTTTATGATTGTATTACTTTTTAAAAATGTGTAAGAAATTTCTATAAATGAGTGCCAAAAGTGTCTCTGATTCAGGTCTCTATGAATGGTGATTGTTGGATAATTCTAGTATTGCTCCTGAAGGGTGAGGAAAATTTATCCACCAGTGAGTGACACTATTTTTTGTTGTTTAGTGCAAAATTTTAAACTTCAGACTATAATTGTTTGTTAGTAACCCAGTAGGAGATGCTACTTACATTACCCTTTGCTCATTCACATGAGTTCGGTTGCATAAATGGTGCGAATTAGGAAACAGGCTGTATGAAATTGGGAAATCTTAAGTGAAATTGATAAAGAATTGAAAGTGCTGTCAAAAGACCCTGTAAAATCAGTGGCTTGCAATGTGCTAACTGTGTTTATTTGCACTTTCAAAGTTCGGATTTCCTCATACATTTTCATACTGATGGAGATAAAATGCTAAAGTCTTAAATCCCTCTATGCCATGCTGAGTTGCTAAGGGCTGTTGAGTTTTTGTTATTTCTCCTCTCGAGTTAGCTCTGATTATGCCTGCTGAGTGAAAAATTTGTATTTGCCGACAGAAATAGGAGCCACCCCACGTGCACTTGCACTCAGCAAATGCTCCAATACATCACAAAGATTTGCTCAACCTACCTTCAGAGGCCAAATCGAGCATGTTATTTTCTGTTTAGATCTGATTCTGGAGCCGATCAGTCAGAGTGTTTTCCAATCTCTGATTAAAGCAAGGCCTACAAAGCTGGAAGTGTTCACACACAGTCTCATTAGAGTGCTGGATAGAGTGACCCAGGCCTTCTAGCACAAAGCTCTGAGTGAACTTCAAATATGAGAGTGCATCAATCAAATCCAAGCAAGGCTTTTATGTCATTTTTCTACTTTGCCTTTAAAGTCCTATAGGAATGCCCTTTCCAGCTGTACAGCCGAAAAGCATTCAATAGAAACAAAAAAGCAAAGACATCCCAATCCCCTTCCCCCACCCCAATGGGTATGGTTTTACCTCCCCCACCAAGCACTAGAGAGTCTTCTGTGCCTTTTAAATTATTTAGTATGTTCAACAATGCAATGGAGAATATATTCGCATCACTCAGTGGTTTTGTATTAATTATTAGTGCCCATTGGAAAGGGAAACCAATAAGGTCAAAGGCAATCAGACTGCATATTGTACAGTTTAAATAGAGGTGGCTAAGACATAGAAGGGCAAATGAAGCAATATTCTTGGAGACTTTTCATGCCCTGCCCCCAAAGCTAACTCCCAACTTCACTTCTTGCTTTGTTGTCGTTGTTGTTGGTTTATACAATTATGAAAACAAAGACTCAAAAGAGTAAAATCAGAAAAGAGCATCAAGAATCTTGGCATGAAAGATGATAAGACATAAGTCAGAGAAAAGAAATCAAGCATTTAGTTAATGTTTGTTTTATACACTGCCCGGGGCACTAGAACCATTTTCAAAAATACATCTTTAAAAGATACGCATAAAACAAAATGATATAAATTTGCCCACTAATATCATTAGAGGAAAATGCATTGGTGCAGTTAGCAGTGATTATTAAATTTAGGGACTTTGCTTCAAACATCAGGCCAAAAGACATTGTAAAACAAGACACATCAGAATGAATTAAATAAAATGAGCTTTTGAAGCCTGAAAATAAAAAATTGTAAGCCTGAAATTTGTAAGCCTGAAAATAAACAATAAAAAATAAGAAAAAATAAATTTTTCTACAGTATAAAGTTTCTTGAATTTCACTCATCTCTTTAAGTAAGAGAATGGTCGAAGAACCCAGGTAATCCTCTGTTGATCCAATTAAGACCAACACACTGAAAATATAGTGTAGAGTACAGAATTGGGCAGATATATTGCTTTTTCAAGGGAGTTCCCTGTGTGTGTAGATTTGTTTTCATTTCCAAACTTTACTAACTGCAAGGCAGATACTACCCACACATAGCACTTCACCCAGTCAAAAATATTTCAGCATGTAAAAGAGTGTTTGAATACACATGCACACGTGCACACACACACATATATGTATATAAAATTTTAGCATGTGTTTCTTTACAGGCTTCAGATGTTTGGAGGAATTATGCAGATTTTATAAATGAGTACCAGAGCATTATGCTACTTGATAGTGTCCCATCTGTGCTTCCCCTGTAGTGTTTGACGGGGCATCTGTGTAAATTGCTTTTTGTTGTTCTTAATTGGTTTATTGCATAAAAGTTAGTACGCTACCTGATAAAAAACTTTTGTCCACTTAAGCACTTTCTCCTTCTAGAGCTAACTTTCATCTTTAGCTCTAGTCAGACTTCTTCCTTTGTAGATTTCTAAACTAAAATAATAAAATAATATTTTTCCTTCATCTTATATTGCATATTTTACCATGCTTGTGTGAAGACAAATACTGAGTGTATGTAATAAGTTAATCACCCCAATATTTCATGTATTTTAATATAACTTCCCAATAAAATATCTCCTAATGTACATTTAAGGGCTATATTAGGAAAACATTTTGAAAAAAATACACCTTCCTAGGGAACGAACACATGGTCCTGAATGTGCACGAGTCTTTCTTTTCTCCCAGGGTACTTTTGATTCCACTTAAGAGGAGTCATATCAGCATAGTACCAAGAATCTTGATGAAATGACAGGAACAACAAAAACAAATCAAATTATGAAACCAGTTTCTCATTTGCTCTCTTTTGTTTAGGAAAAATATGAGAAATCTCAAATGACAAACTAAAATTTTCACTTTCATCTCAATATGCGCCCTCTGGAGAGGCAACACGAATGAGAAGAGAGAGACATCCAGGACACAGGATAAATCCTGCAAATATTGTATAGTTAATAAAAATCAGGAGAAGTCCTGAGATCATTTTATGGTTAATATAAATCATTGGTTAAGGGCAAAGGTTCAGAATCCAACTCTGGTGAGATATGTCACCTTGAGAAATTTTCTTCCAGCTCCATGCCCCAGTTCCTTATGTTCAAAATGATCTCTTAATGGTATTTACCACACACGGCTGTTGAGACTATTAAATAAGCTTACATTTGTTAGTGCATAAAAATGTCTGACATGTAATAATTGCTCCAAAAATGTTAGCTATTTAATTAATTGTGGTGAGAACAACTATTTGCTAGATGCATCTGAAAAAAGTGCTATTACTTTTCCAAAAATTAAAATACATATTTTATATAAAAATTTAATTTAGAAGACTTATATATTGTGTAAGATATATTCCCTTTTAGAATAACCAAGAGGATAATCCTGAAGGAATAAATTTTATTTTATGAATCTTTAAGATCTAGCATACAGTCTGCCAGCTTTGAATTATATAACTTTAGAGCTAATTTATTTCTTTATCTGATGTTGTGTTTATCATACAGTTAAGCTTTGTAAGTTTTAAATGGTATACTAGATAAACATTTTTTTGCATTTTAAGCCATATAAATTATTTGTCCAACTATGTTAACTGTACTTAGTGGGCACTGATATATTGATCTATAACATGATGTACCAATATTTGTACTCTATTATGCTGTCAAATAGATTTTTTAAAGTACATAGATTTGAGTTTAATCTTGAATTTACCATATCTAAAAATTTGGAAAGCCTGTCAATGAGGTGCACTCTTGTTCATCTAAAAAAGTCAGTGCAAATGAGTTAGCTAGAAAGTGAAATTTGTAAAAAACATTTCAATATGTGAAAATCAACATCAAAATGTCAACTGTTCTGACTTGGAACAAATCAAGTTAGGAACTAAACCCTCATATTATATAAATCTACAAAAGCTTAGTAAGCTCTAGGAGTGTTCTTAGACTTACGTATGAAATCTTTTCTGTCCAATGGTATAAAATGTTTAAAAGTTACTCTGAGGCTAAAAATACTATGCATATTACCTTAAGGTTTAACATATAAAGGGTTTTAGCAATTGCTTAAACACACAAGAGCAAAAAGAAATATCAGTTTGATGCCAGTAATAA